AGTTAACAAAATTCTAAAGTGAGGTTCTTCTTTATTTGATAGTTGCAGTAGTTGAAACTACAGGGACCTCTTTTCCACCATTTGTATTCCCTGAAGGAACACTTAATTATTGACCCAATTTGCTTGATTGTACTGAGCTCGTCCTGAGGTATGAGGACCCTTATGTCAATGGCTCATTACAGCTTAAAAGGAAACCTACACCAGTGTTTCTGCTGATATTCTTGTTACATATTTGTGTATTTGAAGGGAGATCTGAAGGTCACCAGATAACTGAGGAAAACATCATGAATGGGATGAAGTTGAATGGGATAGCTAACACAGGAGAAGCAAAACACAAAGAAAATTAAGGTACTCTCCTTAGATTTGACTTCCAGCCTCTGCCTGGCATGGAGAGATCTGGAAGCCATTTGTCTACCTTCACAACCAAAAATTGGATAGTGTACAAAGTCATTAATGTTCTAGACTCCCTTGGGGAACTTAGATCTCACAGCACCCCAAAAAAGACAAGGTAGTACTTTCCGGGGCAAACAGGATGTAAGGTGCTGATTACCAGTGACTGAGCATTGGAGGAAGTTGAGGGCATTGAATAAAAAGGCAAAGTAATATAGCTGAAGATTCTTAACAAATTGTTAATAGCCAAGTGTGGACTGCTATCTGGAGTAAAGCAGATCTAAAGCAGTTCCCACTTGCTTGTGGTTCCTTTGGTATGGATTTTGTTGGATGTTTACAGGAACGATTGAGGCAGGGCAGGAAATCAGAATTGTAGTTCTGGAGGAAGAGAAGTGACAGCTCTGGAAGAAAAGCACACTCCAGGCCCGGCGCGGTGGCACAGTGGTTAAGGTCCTCACCTTGCACACCCGGGATCCCATATGGGCGCCGGTTCTATCCTGGCAGCCCCGCTTCCCTTCCAGCTCCCTGCCTGTGGCCCGGGAAAGCAGTCAAGGATGGCCCAGAGCTTTGGGACCCTGCACCCGAGTGGGAGACCCGGAGGAGGCTCCTGGCTTCAGATCGGCATAGTATCTGCTGTTGCGGTCTCTTGGGGAGTGAATCATCGGACGGAAGATCTTCCTCTCTGTCTCTCCTCTCTGTATATCCGCCTTTCCAATGGAAAAAAATAATAAAAATAAATCTTTAAAAAAAAAAGAAAAGCACACTCCTTCTTAAGAACAATAACACTAAGCCTTTAAGGCAAGAGCTGCAACTGCAGGTTGACACAGGTCAAACCTGTTGTGTCTAGAAGATGAAGAGCTAAATGAATAAACATAGTCAGGAACCATAGCACTCAACTCTCTGTACTTAATAGAATAAATAGAAAATCAGTTTGAATAAAAAGACCTTAACAGCATTACCAAATTACTTGATACTATAGCAGCACACTGAATATTAGCGGAATATGCTTTCAGACAGATCATATTCGATATCATAAGATAAACATACAAAATAATTAAAAGTCATACAGAGTGCTTTCTTTCACTGAAACAGATAATCAGCAAATCACTAAAAGATACCCAGATATTTCCACATATTTGTAAACAATAGAACAAATTATAAACTATGAATCAAAGATGAAATAAGGCAATTTTAAAAATAATTTGAACTGTGCTCACTTTAGCAGCACATATGCTAAAATTGGAAAGAAAAATGATTTGAACTAATAAAGCAGTAGCATGAACATTAAAAGGAGGTACAAAATGAGAGGAAAGTTGTAGCATTTGATGCTTACATTACAAATGAAGAAAAATGTCCGATCAGTATTCTATGCTTGTATCTCAAAAAACTTGGCAAAAAGAACAAATTAAACTCAAATCAAGAATAAGAAAGCAAATTATAAAGGCAGAAATAATGTCTTGAAGCTATAAAATGAGTACAGAATATCAGTGAAACCAAGATCACTAAAATTGATAAGCCTGTAGGCTGACTGATCAAATAACAAGAAAAAATACCAATTACCAGTGTCTGGAATGAAAGGGGAGGGGCATCATTACAGATCCTATAGAACTTAAAATAATATGACTATTTCTTTTTACATGATGTGATGGCAGCATGTTGTAAGGACAGGTAGGCAAGTTGAAGAAAGTCTCATTGACTGAATCTGGAACCACTTGAACACTAAAATGTTATGTGTAGTAGCAAAGTAGAGTCATTGAAAAAAGAAATGCATGACTCCACACTAGTAATAGACAGTTAATAGTGAAAGAAAGGCTCTGTTTTAGAGAAGAATGTTGAATATTAATATATAAATATGGAGGCAGTACTGGAGTTGAAATATTTTATAACCCTCACAGTAAAGATTAATTCAAATGAAAGTCATCAACCAATGCTAAATCTAGAGAGAAATCTGTGAGAAACATCATCTTAAAAATGAAATCATTTCTTCCAAATGTGATAGCTATCATATGGTATTTAGGCTGTGCCATTAAACCTGAACAACCTCTGTAGAGATTGAATACACCATTTGCTCAGTAATATTGCTCCTTGTGAAGTGACCTTCAGAATTTGAGTTTCCTGAGGTGTCTTCAAATACTTAGTTCTTTGAGCCAAAACTCACTCAGTATTATTCCAGAGCTCACTCCTGTGTTAAACAAGCAATATTACTTACCTTAGATAGAAAAATGAGCCTGGTTACAAAAGAAAGAAAGAAAAAGGAAACTGAACCTGTTATGTTTTGGAGATATGGTGCCAGTATAATTTCTAAGGCTTGGGTTTTTATAAAGCTCATGGGAAACCATAACCTCTTAGGTGACCCCTTCCTGGATTTGTACATACTCTTACTTTTCACCTGGAAATCATTTGAGACTTACAAAAAAGTTGTAAGAATAAGAAGAGTGCAATGAACATATACACCATCCAGAGTTACCTAATTGTTAACATTTCACCTATTTCATGGCTGGTTATTTTTAAAATTTAATTTTCCTCTTATGACTTTGCAAAGATGTTTTTTCTTTCTATCATGTAATAACGTGGGATAAAGGGCTTCTAAAACTGATGATGAGTGCCAGCGAACGGATACCCTGGCAGTGACCAGAGTTCCACCAGCGATCAGGTGGAAAGGCATCACGGGACACTCAGGAGGTGAATCCTGCCACAGAGTTGCAGGCTCTGCTGATTTTTTTTAAGAACTTGATCATGAGCAGAAACAGTTGCAAAGCCCTAGTGGGGGACAGTTGTGGGAACAGGGTGGATTTCATGACCCAGACCATCATCAGTGCTATATCAGCCATCATTTTGAGTTTTGCAGCAAATGTTCTGGGGTGGGGGAAGGTAGACAACAGTGAGCTACAACACATCAACAAATTGAAATAGTGAAAACCATATGATCATCTCAATACATCTCAATGCATTTGATAAAATCTACACCTGTTCATTATTTAAAAAAAAAACAACTAAGCATTATAGGCATAGAAGGACCCAAAGGATAGATATCATATGAATTATGCATCTCTGCTCCCAAATACAATGAAGACTTCCAATGAAGCCATTAAACATACCTTGAAAGTAGGATACTTCTACTGTTGTCTGTACTAATACTGCTTGATATACTTAAATAGTAGAATGTTGGAGTTATGACTGTTGCTGAAGAACTATACTATTGTAATAATATTGGGGGAAAACAGTGGGGTGGGAGGTATGGAAGAGGGGAATCTCTGTGTTTATGGAGCTACATCATGGAAAATAATAATTTAAAAAGGAAACAAAACAACCTGAAGGTGAGTACATGTATTTGTCCAGATCTGTCTTGGCTCTGTAGTTGTGGTTTTGCTAGCACTAAAAGAGTTCAGACAGCCTAATATCTCTGAAATAAGGAATAGTTTTGCAAATTTCTATAGTGATGGAAGAATTCATATACTTTTCTTTTAAAACTATGTGGGCTGGGTGGTATTAACCAAAATGTCATAAAATTGTTAAGGTGAGGATGAGGGAGGAGTTATTGAGGTGCTATATACTTTAGTACTTTTAAGAGATAATTGGAAGAGAAGAAAAGAGTGCTTAGAAATATGAATGTTTTGATAAATTATTTAGATTGGTGGATTTTGTGCTAAGGTCCAAAATGTGTGTTTTAACCTGTTAACTGCTGTTCTATTCCTCCCTATAGGAGATTGCCAAAATGTTCAGGGCACCTTCTTTACTGCATCACAGTTTGTGAAGCAAAGTATCTGAAATTTAGTGCATCAGAATCTAAGACTGTTTATTAGAGCTTAAAGATTTTGGAGTTATAATCAGTCCTAGATTGTAAAACATGAAATAAGTTCTCATGAAAGGAATTTGTGATCACAGAAATGGAGGTTCTGAAGTTGATATAAACAACAGGCATATAAACACATTAAGTATTGGAAAGTTGTAGTAAACACTTAAAGAAAATTATGTGTCCTATGATGGGATTGTGGTATGAAGGTATCAAAATGTGGACTATCTCTGTAAGTCACGTCTGTAAAGTTAAATTTATATAGTCATAACGTCATAGTACCTGTCAACATGTAAAAACACTTATGTCATAATTTGGAAAAATCAAAATACGCATTTCCTGTACTCTATGATTTTCACTAAAAGTACTTATATTTTTAGTAAGATGAAAGTTTATAAAAACTACTGAAATTTATAAACTATATTATGGTAGTCAAAATATAGGTAATTTTTGCTGCTCTACTTTTTATGCTTTCTGTAATACTGTATTTTTGGTTGAAACAAAGTTAATCTTTCTTTTTAAAGTGACCTATGAATTATAAAATTACATCAAAGTTCTGAGTCCGCAATCCAGAAATCAATAAGCTGGCTCTATTAAAACCTTACCACTGTGCCCCCACTAGATGCTGGACTTGTATGGGCTAATAGGGAAGTTTAATTAATTGATTCTCTGCAAGACCTCCGCACTCAGCCCACTTTACCTTCTAACCCTTTTTGCTTCCCTCTCAAGGTCAGGGGCCTGGGCTCTGTGGTTGTGACTGAGCAGTCCTTTCTGTCATGTCACATCTGGAATTCTCCTTCCATCTTTCTACCTCCAGGAAGTGCATTTTCAACGGAGCACCTCAAGCTTCAGCTCCAGAAAGAATCCCTGAGTGAGCTGACGAAGGAGTGTACTGCAAAAAGGTAAATGCAGCACTGAGAGTGTTGAATTTAACCGTGGGAACAGATTTGGAAAAGTAATGTTTCTATTGAAAAGAAAACTGCCAATCGTAATTTATGTTTCACATACCTCAGTGCCACATTCATGTATTCAACAGACAGATATTTTGCTAAGCACTTACTGTGTGTTGTTCTTTGTGCTAGGACCAGTTATAAGAGCACTAGAGGGTAATCACAATCAGAAACATAAACCGTTCCTTATTTTGCAGCCCCGAGCACCCTGACTTCAAGTTTGAATCTTCTCCTGTCTTCTGCATCCAGTTTAGTTTTGTCTTCTTCAGGCTTCAGCCTTCTGCTTCTTGTTAGCTAATTGGGATCACCTCAACAGCCTCCCTATAAGTGCAACACCATCTCTCCATCATTCCAGTTCTTCCTTCATTTTCCTATCAGACTTCTATTGAAATATCATTTTTGCCATATTTTTTTCTCCTGAGATAATTAATTTGCTAAATCATCACCTTCATATAATCTTTGACAAATTGGCTCCATAGTGGCGAGCATTTAGCCTAGTACCTCAGGCACTGGTTCAAATGCCCACGTCTTGCATTCTGGTACCTGGGTTCAATTCCCAGCTCTGGCTTCTGACTACAGCTTTTTGATAGCTCACACTCTTCTTCTTTTTTTTTTTTTTTTAAGGTTTATTTATTTTTTATTATTGCAAAGTCAGATATACAGAGAGGAGGAGAGACAGAGAGGAAGATCTTCCATCCGATGATTCACTCCCCAAGAGACCACAACGGCCGGTGCTGCGCCAATCCAGTGCCAGGAACAGGAACCTCCTCCAGGTCTCCCACACTAGTGCAAGGTCCCAAGGCTTTGGGCCGTCCTCGACTGCTTTCCCAGGTCGCAAGTCGGGAGCTGGATGGGAGGAGGAGCTGCCGGGATTAGAACCGGCACCCACATGGGATCCTGGCATGTTCAGGGCAAGGACTTTAGCCACTAGGCCATGCTGCCGAGCCCATAAGCATTGTTTTTAAGTTTGGCATTATACAACCATAGTTAAGTCACTCCACAGTGTTCATTTGTGTAAATAGTTTCCCTGTTTTATCTAATATTTGCTTAATCCATTGTGATGTTTAATTGTTCATCTTCACTCACTTTACTGGAAAGTCTTCCCATGTGGCCTGTGTCTTCCAGAAACCTTCACAACTGAGGACTCAAAAATGTTAGACCTAGAAAAAATCCTGGAGGTCATCTATTCTAATTGTCACAATTTGCGGATTAGGAAAGCAAGGCTCAGGGAAGGTGCTTTTTTCCAGCTCGCTAGCAAATCAAGACTAGATCCCATTAAGTCTCTAGTGCTGTTTTAGATAAGAAATCCCAGTGTTTTCCTCCCCCCTCTCATACCATTCCACAAACACAGCAAAACACCAGATTTTCTTTTATTTGTAACACTGTCTACCTCAGGAATTGTCACTCCCAAAGCACTACATCTTCCATTAGATGCTAATTGTAGGTCCTAGGTTGCTATGCTTCTGACAGACCTGTAAATTGTAGTTCCCACAACTACCTACTCAGGTTGATTTAATTTACTAAAACTGTTCACAGAATGCAAGGAAATGTGCATTTACTGACTTGTTAATAAAGGATGCTCAAAGGATATAAATGATCAGCCAGATGGGAGAAATGCATAAGGGAAAGCTATGAGGGAGGGGCCATGGAGCGTCTTCATTCTCTCCAGGCATGCCCCCTTCTAGGAACCTAGACAAATCTGAAAGCCCATCAGATGGCACTTCATTTTTTACCCTCTACTCTGTCGTCCCTTCCCATGTTTGGGTAGGTAGGACTGAAAATTCCAAACTTCTGATCTCTAGGTCTGTGTAGTGAGCAGCTCCATCCTTGGGGTTGTCTAGGAGTGCCAACTCTGAATCCTCTCAGTAACATCAATTCTGATATGATCAAAGGGGCTGACTAGGAATAACTTATTCTATAACTCCTCTATACTTTGACCTAAAGTCTCTCCTTAGTTTGTTAACACAGTTGAGCAGGCAATTTATTCTGAGGGCATTTTATATGTTGGCTGAATTTCTTTTTTAAAGACTTATTTTTATTGGAAAGGCAGATTCACAGGTAGAGATAAAGAAAAAGATCTTCCATCTGCTGGTTCACTCCCAAAGTGGCTGCAACGGCTAGAGCTGAGCTGATTTACAAGCCAGGATCTTCTTACGAGTCTGCCACACAAGTACAGAATACCAAGGCTTTGGGCCATCCTCTGCTGCTTTCCCAGGCCACAAATAGGATGATGGATGGGAAGTGGAACAGCCAGGACATGAACTGGTGTCCATATGGGATCCCGGCACTTGGAGAAGGAGAATTAGCCTTCAATAGAGTCATCTCACTGGGCCCGCTTGTATTCTTTTTTTTCCTAAGATTTATTTATTTTTATTGGAAAGGCAGATATACATAGAGCAGGAGAGACAGAGAGGAAGATCTTCCATCCGATGATTTGCTCCCCAAGTGAGCGCAACAGCCGGTGCTATGCCGATCCAAAGCCAGAAGCCAATCCAATGCCAGGAGCCAGGAACCTCTTCCAGGTCTCCCACAGGGGTGCAGGGTTCCAAGCCTTTGGGCCATCCTTGACTGCTTTCCCAGGTCCCAAGCAGGGAGGTGGATGGGAAGCAGAGCTGCTGGGATTAGAACCGGTGCCCATATGGGATCCTGGTGCATTCAGGGCGAGGACTTTAGCCACTAGGCCACGCCGCCGGGCCTGGCTTGTATTCTTAAGTAAGAATAGCTGGATCTTCTCAGGCTATGGCTTTGTGCTTGTTTGTTCTTTCTACTTTATTATTTATCTAATATTGTACTAGATTACTTTTGAGATACAGTTGTGAGTGAAAAAGTGAATACTTTTTTGGGGGAAGAATACATCCTCTTTAAATATTGAGACCTTTGCCAGTTTACTCTTCTTTAAATCTTGTTTCCTTATTTATAAAGAGTTATGATGCCATTCTGCTATTGTCACTGTAATAATTAAATAAAGCCTTTTGCAATACTCTTGTCATACAGAAGTAGATACCCAGTGATGATTATTTGTGCCATTTACGTCTCTCAACATGTTCTAGCCTCATGCAAAAGTCTCAGGGCTCGATCATATTTGGAGATTACTCAGGAGTCATGGTAGCTAGTATCATTTTTCCCCTAATTTTGGGTTTCTGGGCCTACTGTTTGTTGACTGTTTACTCTTCTGTGTTAGTGATGTGGATGTAAATATTAGAAAGCATACAAAATTATTGTTTCTAACAGATGTCCTTTTTTTCTTTTCTTCATTAGAGAACTCTTTCTGAAGACAAATGCTCAGTTGACAATTCGTTGTAGACAACTGCTCTCTGAGCTTTCCTATATTTACCCTATAGATTTGGTAAGTTCAGCTTTTGAATTTTTTTCTATGGAAATATTTTGGCAACGAATTTCCTCTTATAGCTCTAGTCTTAATTGTAAGCTGTGTCGTAATTCAGTCAGAAACCAGTACGTGTTTGGAAAGTAAATTACAGCTTAGTTGGTCTTAGGTTCCACAATTTGTGTTTTTTCCTGTCAATTGGTGGTGCCAATTTATTTTGGTTTGTTTATGTTTTTACTTAACTGAATCATCCACTATGACCAATTCTGACATGTATGCATAGATATATGTATACTGGTTTAAAAACTATAATTGCTAATTAACTTACCTTTCTAGGATTGTTTAAGATATTCCCCAAGTAATTGTCAGCAAGCTATTTTTTTAACCTGGTATTTTAGAATAAGTACAGAAAATATGTTTCCAACAAAACTAATTAGAATTCTTTAGATAACTAATCAGCTAAGTTTAATGATTTTCTTTTCAGATAAAGGAGTAAGTAATATTTGCTTTTCTCATAGAATCTTCTTAAGTCATTTATGGATATTAATTCACCAGGATTTTTAAAAATATGTACTTCTGTTAAAGGTAGGGCAACATAACTTGAGAGAGAGTGAGAGCAGGAGTAAGGGAGAGAGAGAGAGATAGAGAGACAAGGGCCTGGTGCAGTAGCCTAGCAGCTAAAGTCCTTGCCTTGCATGCTCCAGGATCATATATGGGTGCTAGTTCGTGTCCTGGCAGCCCTGCTTCCCATCCAGCTCCCTGCTTTTGGCCTGGAGGAGTGAGGAAGTCAGTTGAGGATGGCCCAGAGACTTGAGTCCATGCACCTGCGTGGGAGACCCAGAGGAAGCTACTGATTGCTGGCTTCATATCGGACCAGCTCCAGCTGTTGCAGCCACTTGGGGAGTCAATCAGCTGATGGAGGATCTTCCTCTCTGTCTCTTCTCTCTGTATATCTAACTTTCAAATAAAAAAATAAATCTTTTTTTTTAAAAGAGAGAGAGCTAGAGAAAGTTAGAGAAAGAGAGATCTTCTATCCACTGTTTCACTGCTCTCCAAAAGGCTACAATAGTCAGGCCTGGCCATGGGAAAGACAGGAGCCAAGAATTCCCTCCTGGTCTCCCACATGGGTGGCAGGGACCTGGTAATTGGGCCATGTGCCTCTGCTTTTCCATGTACTTAAACAGGAAGCTGGATTAGAAGTAGAGAAGCCAGGATACAAACCAGTGCACTGATACAGAATGCCAGCAATTGCAAATGACATCTTTTTTATTGGAATATTATATTGCAGTTCTTTTATTATCGAAAATTTCAAGCACATGTAAACATAGGGAGAATTGTATAATGTATTTTATCTCCATTATTCAGCATCAACAGCTATGACAACATCTTAAATTTGCAGCAATATTGTTTTTGAGTTAACACTGCCTGTTGAGTCCTGTAGATTTGACTTAGAGTTTCTTTACATATAAAAATAATTAATTTCTTTTTTTGTGTGTTAAATTTACAGAATGAGCATAAGGATTATTTTGTATGTGGTGTCAAGTTGCCCAATTCCGAGGACTTCCAAGGTATTTTATTTCTAAAGATTTGACATGTGTAATGTATGAGAATAAATTTGGAAAGGTTGGGTATCTAGCATTTCGTCCAGAAAGATTTTTGCACCTTCTGTCCTTTCCCAAAGCACATTTATAGAGTCAAGGTCCTGATAGGAGCTGTAATGGAATATTTTGTTTAATCATGGGAAAATAAATGTTGACACTTATGTCTGAATTTTTTTAAAAAATTAAATGGGATTTAAGCAAAAGAAATGGCAGTGTTTTTGAGAAAACTAATAATCTCCTTATTTTTTTGATTCGATTTTCATGAAAAATAGGTATGCAGTTGTGACCCTATGTTAGTCTGTTCTGTTGTCATTTTAAAATTTATTCTCCTGCTAAACTGCAAGTATTTGAAAATTTGTCTTTTTGGCATCCCTACAACCACATGTTCAATTTGTTGTGCTATCATTTCTCTCCTCTTTTAAATTGAAAAATATCTAAAATCTAAAAATATTTAAAATATATTATAGAATTATTTTGTAGTAATTCTTCTGTTTTAAAATCTTTTTGTATCCACTGCTTTGAGCCCTTTTAAATATCTTTATATGTTATTCCCAAAACTATTAGATAATTGGGGAGAAGTTATTCAACAAGAGAGTACTAATAGTTTTAATCAGGATCATTGTCCATTTCCCTACACAGAAATTGTTATTTGTGATTCTTTACCATTTAAGACTGAATTAATCACCACCTTCAGCCCTTATAAGTTAAGTAATTAGGACATGATATACAAGGACGATAAATGAGAAGTTTGAAAAACTAAATTCAAGTCCTGGTTTCCCTTCTATAAGCCATGTGATGTAGAGTAACTCGTGTAAGCTTTGAGTTGATTTCTTAATGTATGAAATTATTAGGAACTTCTTATTTTCCACCTCTTATATGGTTGCTTTGAAAATTAGGTGAGATATTTCAGTATTTATAAATGCATAAGATTTCTTCTTATCTTAAAAAAAAAAAGATTTATGTGTTTTTATTGTAAAGGCATATTTACTAAGAGAAAAATCTTCCATCCACTGGTTCATTTCCCAGTGGCCAGAGCTGAGCTGATCCAAAGTCAGGAGCCAAGACCTTCTTCTGGGTCTTGCACACAGGTGCAGGATTCTAAGACTGTGGGCCGTCCTCGACTACCTTCCCATGGAGCTGGATGGGAAGCGGAGCTCCTGAAACATGTACTGCCTACCTGTATGGGATGCCAGTGCTTGCAAGGCGAGGGTTTAGCCACTGAGCCTTTGCGCCAGGCCCTTGCCTTACCTTTTTTATTTTAAAAAAAGATGTATTTACTTATTTGAAAGGCAGAGTCACAGAGAGGGGGAGAGATAGAGAGGTAATCCATCAGCTGGTTCACTTTCTGAATGGCTACAATGTCTGGTGTTAGGCTGATCTGAAGCTCTCCTACAAAGATACAGGAACCCAACAACTTGAGTCCTCCTCCACTGCTTTCCCATGTACGTTAGCCAAGAGCTGGATAGGAAGTGAAGCTGTGAGAACAGGAGCCCAAATGGGATGCTGGCACTGCAAACAATGGCTTAACCCCTGCACCAATGCTGGTGATTGCTTTAACCCTCACAAAAACAAAGGAAACCTATAAGGAAAGTGGATTCAGTGCCTTGCTCAAGAGAGTACAAAGCAAGATACTGATCTAGCTTGGGTTTCTGTTATGCAATACTCCCTCTGGTCTCTGTGTGACTTGCTAATTTTTAAAAACCTATTCATCTGAGAGGCGGAGAGCTCCCACTTGCCAGTTAACTCTGTATGTACCCTCAACAACCAAAGTTGTGAGCTCAGTCCAGGTCTCTGAACATGGATAGCAGAGATCCAATTACTTAAGCAATCACTGCTTCCTCCCAGATTCTGCATTAGCAGGACGCTTGAGTCAGGCTCTGGAAGCAGGTGTAAAGTCTAGGTAGTCTAATATGGATACTGACATCTTTATCAGAGTCTTAACTGCTAGACCAAATGCTTGTTCCTAGTGTTAATATTAGGCAAAGCTGTGGTGTCATGAAACCCATGATACATCAGCTTTTTAAAATTTTTCATCCATTCATTCAATAAGCAGACTTTGAACTGGGATATAGAATATTCATTCACTGAACAAATAGCAACAGCACTGAGTTTTGAGGGTTCTTTCTTTGGTCTGTATAACAGATTGAGGGCTACCGCTGATAGACACCACCAAGTGTCTAAAAGGGACTTACTTTAAAAGCACTCAGGAGAAGATCTCTTAAAGACAATCATTTACCAGAAAATTCGGAAGCTGAAAGGAGCTAGCTGTGCTACAGCTGATGGAGGAGCACTCCTGGGAGAGCACCAAGTACAAGGGTTGTGATGGAGGAAGATGGCCTTGGCATGTCTGATGAAACTCCGGGTAGCGGTATGGGAGAAAAGCCATGTGTTTTAAGGCAATTATGTCAGCTCACAGCTTAAATTCTTTACCTGTAAAATGAGAATTAGATCTCTAATTCACTGTGTTGGGTAAATGAAATAGCATTTGAAAGAGCTTTTCATGTAGGCAGACTCAGTAAATACAAATGGAATTATTTGCAAAGCAGAGAAGGCAGGGGATGCAGGACGGAAGCAAGGAGGGTCAGAAAAGACCAGCGGATCTTGGTAATTGGCACACAATGAGCAAGGGGAAGAGTCAAGTTAGTGGAGATAACAGAGGTCAACCAGGATGAGGAGGCCACTGTAGGCAGTTTCTGTTTTATCCTCAGTGAAGTGGGAAACTCCTGAAGGAATTCAAATGGGGAGACAGCATGAGCTGAGTTACACTTTTAAAGTTACTGTGGTTGCTAAATACAGCGGGTAGTGAGAGAAGCAGAAATATTCCTATCAGTGGAGTGGTCTGTTTTTTAATCCTCTCTGAGAAGTTTCTAGATTCTATTTTTGTTTTCCTTTGAAGTGCTTTGTTTCCTGGTTTTTCATAGCTTTTATGGCTTTCTACACTTGTAGTGCCCAGCAAGCTCTAAATTCTTTCTCCCTACTATTTAGTGTGTTGCTGAAAAATGAAATGGCAGATAAAGTAAATGTGAAATTTTTCTCTAAGCTCCTGTGTATTCTCTGTTATTCTCAAGAATCAGGAATTTTAACAAGAATATATTGTATTGCACTGTAAAAGTGTTTGTTAGTATTCTGCAGGGCAGTTGCAGATCTTCTAAATGTCTCCTGTGTGCCAGGTGTGAGCATATACAGATTAAGCCACTGATCCTGGCTCCATGAGATTACAGTTCAGTTGAGGACATCAAATTTGTAAAAGCCAATTCCGATCATGATGCAGATTTCTTCCTTGCTGTAAATAATAACTTCTTCTGACTTGTTAGTAATCTGTAATAGCTGCATTCTGGGAGAGACTAGAATGGAGAAACTCCACGCCTGGTTCCTTGACACGTGGCAGATTTTGCTGGGGTAGTTATTCTGCATGGGTTGACACTGTTTGGGAAGCTGCACCATAGTGACCAATCATGTGATTTCTAGGTGGGTAAGTTACTATTATTGTGTTCCAGTGAGACCTGGACACAATGGAAGAAAACTATCCAGTGAAGGGTGTTCACCTGAGAGCCATTGACTTAGACATTTGGCTTTTTAAAAAAAAAATGTTTGTGCGTGTGCGTTTTTTAGTAATCCATAACGTGAGAGCCTTTTGTGGTAATGAGACCCAGATTTCCCTCTGTGTCTGTATTCCTTTGTGCAGGCATGATTTCTTGGAAAGGAGAGTCCATATGTCAAACAGTATCTCATTGAGAACATGGATTGATTCCATAGATGCTGTGGCACTGATTAGAGTCTTAAATATTTTGTCCTGTCTGGATCAGTGGGTGCTTGGTTCCCTAACAAATCAGCTGCCTCAGTGATTGGGAAGGCAGGATGGTAAGAGCTTTTAGATCACTTATTGTACTCGGATGCCGTTGACTATTAATAGTTTGTCCAACATATAAATCAAAGGAACTTTCAAATTAATTTGTAATGTTGTCATGGCCATTGCATGTCTGTGGAATTTATTGTCACAAAAATTACACAAAAAATTAAATTAAAAAACATTTGAAATAAAGAGTACACAAAGGCTGCAGCTTTGAGTGGCTTCCTACATTTTAAAAACAAATCAGAAATATTTATTATGAGGAAACTGCCGCTTTTGTTTTTGTCTTAAGCACCTTAAGACATTGTTTGAATTAGGATCTTTTTTCACATACCTGAATCCTACAGTTCACTGTTGTTCCTGACTGGTCCCCCCACTCTCCCTCCCTCTCTGTCTCTCCAACAAAACTATCTCTTGTGACCTTCCTAACCCACAGAGCAGCGCAAGAAACACAAGCCTCTGCTGTACATTAGGTGTTACGGACGTCACTAATGCTTACTGGAAAAGCACACCCCAGAGAGCTGTGTTTGGGCTTTGGCAGGTAAAAAGTCTTTCAGATCTTGGAATGCTGGAAACCTTAAACCTTTTGGTTTTTCAGCTAAAATGATTGGCAAGAGAATGTGACATCTGAGGTTGCACGGCCTGCAATAGCCATAATTAACCACATGAGCTCACAGTTTCCCACTGGAGGTTCAGTGGTCTTGGGGTGATGAAAGTGACTTCCCTACCAGGAGGTGGTTTTCCTTTTGAGGATATTGGAATGCCCTTGGGTCCTATAATGCTTCACCCGTGGTCCTTTTAAAATGCTTTTTAATATAAAGCTTCAATATTGGAAATCCAACACCACAGAGTTTAACAGTGAAGTTGTGTGGAGCGAGATGGCCTGGAATGGGAAATAAACTAGGATTTTTAATAGGTGAAATGGGGAATCTTGTGGTTGCAACAATGATAAGTGTGAATAACCTGAATCAAAGCTGCTTTTCAATTTTATTTAATTATCATCATTTGCTATTTCCCTTTGGTTTTGATTTCTGTGTGTAAGTTTCTCTTTGGGATGCCTGCTTTAAACATAGGCAAAATGATTTGTTCATTGTGAGGAGATAATGGAAAATGACAAATTTGTGTTCTTTTAACAGTGAGGTGGATTGTGTGAAAATGGACAAATATAGATGTAGATTAACATTAAAGGTTTTTCCTATAATTCATAATTTGCCTTTCACCTGTTGGATGCCTAATTAAGAAGTTTTCTACTACTTTTAGAAGTTTTCAAATCTTTTTCTAACGTGTTATATACAAAAAGTGAAACTTTGTATCACTTAAAGAAGTACATATCTAGCATAACACTGTCCTTTTAAAACAATGTTGATTTATTTAAAAGACAAAGTTAGAAGAAGACAGACAGATCTCTTATCTTCTGGTTCACTTTTTAAATGACCACAGCAACCAGGGCTGTGCCTGACTGAAGCCAGTAACCTGGAGCCTCTTCTGTGTCCCAAGGACTCAGGTGCATTAGTGGGGAGCTGGATCAGAAGTAGAGTGCCTGCGTGTCAAAGCAGCACCCCCAGGGAGTGGTGGCACGATAGGTGGTAGCCTGGCCTGCTGTAACACAGTTCCAGCCACCTGCTATCTTTCTTTGTCCTAATTCTTCTTTTTTGGCCATTCAAAAAAAATTCTTAAATATCAAGTTCTTTTACTGATAGTATTTTTAATGGGAAAGTCTTATTCTTTAATGAAAGCAGGAGGCAGGATTCAGTGACCTGTGAAGGAACTCCCAGTCTCAGCTCTGACTCCAGAAATAGATATTTTAAGTGCTGGGTCATGGACAACAGTTCTCCCATATCTCCCATTGCCCATTGATTTTTTTTTTTTAACCTCCATAGGTTTGACCAAATCATTTATAACATCTGGAGCTCATTGTTCTCATCTCCAAGTTGATAATGTCAGACTAAGGTCTCTCCTAGCTTTTAATACTGTGTGTATATGTATAATGCCAAATACTAGTGGTCCCTAAGGCAGCATAATGTACAGGTTTCTATAGCAATGGGGTGCAGAAGTGCTTCTCAAAGTACTTACGAGGAACCAGAGAATAGGACATCATCTCCAAAAATACAGGATTCTAGTAAGGGTATGATTCAGTAGTCAGATGAAATGAATGCAGTAGGCTTTTTTGTTGAGATGGAGAAAACAGTTGAGGAGCTCATTTTCTCTTAAACATTATGTAAATTGTTACATAAGACTTTTAATGCATTCTTTCACTTACTAAACAAAAGTTATAGAAACTGAGACTGTGGGCATGTGCCATGTGCTTGGAGTATTCTGAATTCCCAAGTGAGAAGATGATTAAATACTAATTTCTTAACAGTGAATTTTCAAGACAATATGGTAGAGTGGTCCCAGGTAGAGAATTCGGTGTCAATTCAACTTGTTCACTAGCTGTATTGATTTGACAGGTCATTTGATCTCTTTAAGCATTAGATTGTTCATCTGAACTTTGAATGGATTGACATAAATAAGATGACTAGTTTAGGGACTGTTAGAAGATCAAGGAGTAATATGTACAAAGAACTACAGACGATTTCATGCAAAGGAAAAATATAATAAAGTGAGCTATTTTTATAAAATAATCAAAGAGTAACCAAGAACCTGTTATGGTAGTCAAGAACAGAGAATTCGTGGGGAATGTACAGCCATAATGGCATTCCTACCATAAGGAGATAGAGCTTAGACGGTTAAAGAAAACATGAAAAAGGAGCATGAACTATAGTATTTATGATTGAGGTGGAAGGCACCCCTAGAAGTCCCAAAATAGTCCAATCATGGTGGTCTTCATCATTTCAGCCATTCCTTTCTAGTCAACTGCAGTATTCCAGATTATAAATTCAATATTTTAATATGAGTGCATGTGTACATTATAAAGTATTTTAAAGCCACTATAGACCAAGTTAAGTTTTTCCTTCCTTCTTGGGGAAGTTTAAAACTTCCTGCTGTAGTACTGTCAGTTTTAAGGACCTTAAATCATGATTTGTCACATGATACATGTTGATAGAAATCTGGATGATGAGTTTAAAAACAATTTTCTGTGCCTTTTCAAAAGCTGAATACATACGCTTGACTGCAAGACAAGTGGTTTCTGTTCCAATAGTTGCTTCTATTGGAACAAATTGCTTAAATAGAATGATGTGTGAATAGTGTGGTTTTGACATATTTTTGACTGTTTTTGTTTTAAAGCATTTTTCCCCTTTTCCCATGTAAAAAAAAATCACAAGCTTATGTGTGCAGCACTGTTTTTATCAATATCAAATACATACCTTCAAAAAGTATATTAGTCTATTTCACTTCATTTTGGAATTAATATTATGCAGTAATACAGTATTACAACTATATTACCTAAGGAGTTGTTCATGAATAAAATGTATAGTGATTATGTACCATGTTATATTAAAGCCTCTGAAACTAGTTTTTATATCATGTTACAGACTCAAGTATTTCCCCTTTAAATATGCTGAAAACAAAGTAATAGATATTTCGGTACACTAGGAACTCTTGCTTAAAAAAAAAAATATATATATATATATATATATATAAAATGCTGCTCTTGTCACATGAATTACTAGGAAATAATTTTAAATATGGTTAGTAGATAAAGTTTCAAGGTTTGTTAATGTGTTGAAATTGGGCAAATTATGTGATTCAGATAAATGTTTAATATTTTATTTACTGTTTACTTTTATAAGATCTTCTTTGGAATGGTTTTATTATTATCTCAACATTTTATTTGTATGATACCTAGTTGTTTTTCTTTTCCTCTGCTTTTGAATTTACAGCAAAAGATGATGGAAGCATTGCTGTTGCCCTTGGTTACACTGCACATTTGGTCTCCATGATTTCATTTTTCCTACAAGTGCCCCTCAGATATCCTATAATTCATAAGGGATCTAGATCAACAATCAAAGATAATATCAATGACAAGCTGACTGAAAAAGAAAGAGAGTAAGTGTCTTTTTATTTTTATGCTTTCAATATCAAGTCAATGTGAGCCATGCAGTATTCTAAAAATACTAAGCATGACATAAGTGGTGGTAACTTATATAGGACCTTTATAAAGTATTCTGTTTCTTTTAAGTATACTTATTTATTTAGACTTTAATGCTTTAAATCTTGCACTTCTCAGAATGGCTAACATTGCACAGTTAACTAATTTAGTTTGTTTTCCTTATACTTTTGTGAGGACAAATATCACATGTTCATACAGTACCTATTGCCTGCCTCTCAGCACATGACGTCAATGGTAAATGATTTATCAGAGAGAGAACCAGAAAAAGAATGTAAGATTGAGCAGCATATTGAACTTAGTAGTTAAGTATTCTGGTAAACTGAAAGATAGGTTGATGGAATTTACAGACAATACCCAACCTAGCATGAGTGATCTAAAGTTTTTCAACTTCATGATATGAAAGAAATATACATTCCATAGAAGCCATATTTTGAATTTTGAATTTGGATGGTCTTTTTCTGTGCCAGTGATAAGCAGTATGATACAATCTCATGATGGGGACAGCAGCAATGCAGCACACCTGTGAGTAAGCCAGGAGGGTCAGCAACAGATTCTCTGAGGTGTGTTGTGTCACTAAGCTTTGATGTCCAGCAGGTGAAGTGTATTAAATGTGGTTTTGACTTTATAGTATTTTCCACATATGATGGATATAATTCTGTGGTAAATCTGTTTCCTGGCATGATTCCAAAGAACAAAAGAGGTGGAATGTAGAGAAAAATATAGACTTGTCAGAATAAGACACATGATGAATGCACATGTAATTGCAGACACAAAGAAGATCAAGAGACCATGGGGTAAACTCATTATCAACACATAATGATTAGAACCCTCTGAGCTTGTGTGGCCTCTTGTTTGTGGTGCTGGCATCCCATATCAGAGCACTGGCTTGAGTTCTAGTTGCTCTGCTTGCAATCTAGCACCCTACTAATATGCCAGGTAAAACAGGAAGATCGCCCAACCATGACAACCCTTGAGCCCTTGACAACCATGTGGAGAACCCAGATGGAGTTCCAGGCTTCTGCTTTGCCAGATCTGGTAATTGTGGCCATTTGGAGAATGAACCTCTGTATAGAATATCTCTTCTTTCTCTCTTGGTCTCTCCCTGCCTCTGTCACTCTATCTTTCAAATAGATAAATAGATAAATGTCTTCTTTTTTTTTCCTAAACAGAGAAAAATAGTGACTGAGAACTTTTTTTAAGTAGAGTAAATACAAAGAAAACAATTCTCGGGAAACTTATAGAGCTAAAAAATCAAAGACAGAGGATGATATTAAAAGTATCAAGGGACAAATGGCGTTTTAGTATCAAAAGGCTTATGATAACATTGAAAGCTGATTTCTGTAAAATAATAAATCTAGAAAAGGTGATGCAATGAATTTTTTTCAAGCAGCGGGGGTGGGGAGGTGGTGGAAATTATTCCCAGCAGACCTACACTGAAAAAAACACTAAAGGCAGAATAAAAATAATCTTACACAGAAAAATGGAAATATAGGAATGGAGCCAGCATGGGTGGTATGGTGATTTACACCACCTCTTGGGAAACCCGCATCCTTTATCAGAGTGCCAATTTGAGTCCCAAACACTCTGCTTCCAATTCAGATTCCTTGTAATGCATCCAGGGAAAAGACAGATGATGGCTCAAGTGCTTGCACCCGTGCTGCCCATAAGTCTCATATGGGAGACAGAGAGACTGATTGAATCCAGACTCCTGACTTTGGCCTGGCCCAGCCCTCTCTGTCACTGGCGTTTGAAGAATGAACCAGCATTTGGAAAACTTTTTGTTTCTGTCTCTTATTGCTTTTCAAATAAAACAAAATAAACATCTTTTGAAAAGAAGAAAATGCAGAAAGAGAAAAAAGAGCAAAAGTGCAAAAGTATGAGTGTTCTCAAAATCAATTTTGAATGTGAATTGGGTAGTTAGTCTTACCAAATAAATGGTACTTGTATGAAATATGTAAGATTATCATACATGATTCCCATACAGATGTTGAGAAGGGGCAAAGGAAGTGAATATACTTTTAAGAGCCTATTGCCTGAAAGTTGTAAAATTACCAACTTTTGTTAGATCCTAATAAATCCAATATCTATTAAACCTGCTCATAACCACTACAAGAGCTGTATTGTATGAGTGAAAACTTAATACAGGAGATAAATGGAAAATATATAAAATAACTGATCAATCCAAAATAGGATTTTAAAAGAAGAAAATAATGCTTATTGTTATGAAGTGGAACAAACAGAAATCAGATAGCAAATTAATAGATGCAAGCCCTGACTTATCCTATAATTACATTAAATATAAATAGTAGAGCCTGGTGTTGGGCACTTTCTACAGTGTTGCCACTTTCTACAATGCTGGCATCCCACCTTGAAGTGTGGCTCTAGCTCTGGCTGCTCCAGTTCTCGCCCAATTCCATGTTAATATGCCTGGGAAAACAGGAAGATGGCCCAGGTGCTTGGCTCCTCCTACCCACTTGGGAAATCCAGATGGGGTTTTGGACTGCTGGCTCTGGCCTGGCCATCGTGCAGTCCACTCATAGCTGCTGCAGCCATTTGAAAAGGAAACTCAGGGAGAGAAGATCCCTTTCTCTCCCAGACTCTCAATCTGTTCCTTTCCCTCTCTTTCCCATCCCTCTCTCCCTCTGTAATTCAAATAGAAAATCTCTCTTTTAAAAAAGTGTAAATAAGTATTAACATTCTTAAAGATTAGATAGAAAATACTAAACTCATCCTGCTTTCAAAACATACCTGCAGTGTAAGGACATGGAAATACTAAAAGAATGTTGAGTATAAGTGTATTACATAAATATTCTCTACATGAGAATTAATGTAACTATAATGTCAAAGTGAAATTTAAAACAGTTTCAGTGAAGTAGAGTATTTTTATGATGGTACAGCCACTTCCAAATTTCTATCTAGGTATTTCAAATGTAGAGAAAAAGTTTTGCAGAACCACAAGGAAATCTAATAATAGAGGGTTCTTATTTGACTGTTAGAGCAAATAGACCAAAGAGTCTATATCTAAAGGACCTGAAGAACACAACTAATACAATAGACATAAATATGTGAAGAGAACATTGCACCAAGCAGTTGCGGGACACAGTTTGTTTTTCCCTCTATAGCATGTGGAATATTTACCGAATTAGTCATGCTACATGAGATATTAATACATTCAATTGAGCCAGCACTTAGCATAGTAGGAAAAGCCTCCACCTGTGGCACTGGCCTCCTATTCAGGCACTGGTTTGAGTCTTTCACTGTTTACTTTTGACCCAGCACCCTGCTTATGGACTGGGAAAGCAGAGAATGACCTGTGTCCTTGGCTGCTGGTTTTGAATCAGCCTAGATCCAGCTGTTATAGCATTTGGAAAGTGAAACAGCAGATCGAAGGTTTCTCTCTTTCTCTCTTCTCTTACTGTGTAAATTTGCCTTTCAAATATAAATAAAACAGATCTTTAAAAAGAAATACATTCAGTGACCATTTTCAATGAATTTACTGAAAATTGATGGTAAAACTCAAATGTGTGGCAGTTAAGGAATGTGCTTCAGTCTAACTTACAGATCAATAAAAAAAACTGCACAGTCTGAAATTATTTTGAAATGAAGAATAATGAAAATGTAGTGTATCCAAGTTCTTAAAGTATAAGCAAATCTATACACATTGTAAGTTTATCCCACAAATACCTGTGTGAGAAAAAAAGAAAAATTAAAGGGGCTGGCAAAATGGCCATACACTTATCCTCCACCTGTAAGTGCCAGCATTTCATACGGGTGCTGTGATGAAATGCTGCACACTGGCTGCTCCACTTCCAAACCAGTAGATGGAAAATCTTTTTTCTGTCTCCCTTTCTCTCTGTAAATCTGCCTTTTCAATTAAAATAAGTAAATATATTTTTTAAAAGATTTATTTGTTTTTATTACAAAGTGAGATATACAGAGAGGAGGAGAGAGAGAGAGGAGGATCTTCCGCCCGATGATTTGCTCTCCATGTGATTGCAATGGCCAGTGCTGCACCAATTCGAAGCCAGGAACTTCTTCCAGGTCTCCCACATGGGTGCAGGATCCCAAGGCTTTGGGCTATCCTCGACTGCTTTCCCAGGCCACAAGCAGGGAACTGGATGAGAAGTGGTGCTGCCGGGATTAGAACTGGTGCCCATATGGGATCCTGGTGGATGCAAGGCGAGAACTTTAGCCACTATGCCACACTGCCAGGCCCAAGTAAATATTATTTTTTAAAAAAAGATTTAATTCGGGCCCGGCGCCGTGGCACAGTGGCTAAGGTCCTCACATTGCACGCCCGGGATCCCATATGGGCGCCAGTTCTATCCCGGCAGCCCCGCTTCCCTTCCAGCTCCCTGCCTGTGGCCCGGGAAGGCAGTCGAGGACGGCCCAAAGCTTTGGGACCCTGCACGTGTGTGGGATACCCGGAAGAGGCTCCTGGCTTCAGATCAGCATAGTATCGGCCATTGCGCTTGCTTGGGGAGTGAATCATCGGACGGAAGATCTTCCTCTCTGTCTCTCCTCTCTGTATATCTGCCTTTCCAATAAAAAATAATAAAAATAAATCTTTTTTAAAAAAAAAGATTTAATTCTACATCTTTCTTTCATCCACTGGTTTACTCTCCAAGTGGCCACCATGGCCAGGGCTGAATTGATCTAAAGCTAGGAGCCAGGAGTCTCTTTTGGGTCTCCCATGCAGGTGCAGGGTCCCAAAGCCTTGGGCTATCTTCTACTGCTTTCCCAGGACACAAGAAAGGAGTTATAAGGGAAGTGGAGCGGTCAGGGCATGAACCAGTGCCCGTGTGGGATCCTGGCACATGTAAGGTGAGGATTTAGCCACTGAGCCATTATGCCAGGTCCAGAATTAAATCGTCTTAAATCTCCAGCTGAAGCCACTAAAAGGCAACTTGTGTAGCCCTTGGAAAGTAAAATGAAG